CGTTTTACTTTTTGTATTAGTAGTATTTATCACATATTTGCATTCAAATAATTTCTACTGTGGGTATAAAAACCAAATAATAATAATTCCATTATTTTTGGTCACATTTTCAAAGAACCACTGCAGTGGGACCACAGAGCCACATGCGGCCCCCAGAGCCACAGGTTGCAGACCCCTGGATTAATTGAAAGAGTCAGCCATGTTTTTCTATTAGCAAAATATCTCATTAACCTCTGGACATGAGGTTCATATACAGCTAATTTACTTTTGGGGTTACCCCAGTTCAACAACAGCTGATGGAGCTCAGTCTGCACAAACAACAACAACAAAAAAGTTTCACTCAGTTAATTTTCTTCACATTGAACTCAAATTTGGTGTGGTAGTAGCTGCGAGCCATTCACAACACATACTCCAAGCTCTAACGAATCGAGATCACAAGATGGCAGGAACGCCAGGCCTTTAATTTGTTCCCCCCCAAAGACAGACAGAATCACAGACAGATAGATGCACAAACAGGTGGATGACGAGAAAAAAAAAAACGCCACAAAGAGACAAGATTCATGGAAAAGTTATACCTGTTAAGTTGCGTGCATCATCTTCTCAAGTGGATGAGTTGAATGTTTAGATGGATGGATGGATGGATGAATGGAGGGATGGATGAACGGATAAGAAGAGGAGTGCGTGTCGAGGATAGGGTTTGGGATTATCGATAGGAGGAAAGAGGAAAACAAGAAAGAAAACGACATGAAATAGGTGTGACAGCCACACACACACACACAAAAAAAATCCAATTCTGTCCATCACTGTGTGTTCCTTCCTGTCTGCATTTGCATGTGTGTGCATATAAAACAAACTCCAAGTGTCTGACAGCTACGCAGCTTGTGTACTGAAGGAGAAAATAACAAAGCGGCAACTTTTAATGGTTTTTCTTTTCCACTCCATTACTAAGCGTGTGTGTGCAGGTGTGTAACTGGTTTTACCTGTGAAAGTGTTAACTCCATTCAGCTGGACGGAAACTGAGGGTGTGAGGGGCGATGGGGGAGGAGGAGGAGGAGTCGCAGGGGAAGGGGGCGCGAAGGAGGACGTGGGACTCGGGGAGGATTCGGGGAGGTCGGGGAAGAGGGCGTTGGAGAGGGTGGTGGAGGCGGCGGAGGGGGGGATGGTGGTTGGGGCGACAGGCGATGGAGGGGGCGTGTCGGGGGAGGGGGTGTGGGTGAAGTCGATGATTTCCGATCCCGAGCCTTGGAAGATGTCAGGAGGGGAGGAGGACGAGAGGAAGGTCGAAGGAAGAAAAGGTGAGGAAGTTGGAGAATCAAGGGAGAGAGAAGAGGAGGGGTCTAACGAGTCTGGGTCGATGGGGTCCATGTCGGAGGCTGGGTGGGGGTGGTGGGGKGGGGTGGTAAATGATTTTCAGGGTAAGCAAAGCGCACCACCAACAACAAAAATAAAAGCACGGATTGAACAAACAGGACACCATAGAGCCAAAGGAAAAAAGTGCAAGAATGTGCAGATGGTGGTAATGATGGCACGTTTGGATGAGAAAAAAAACAAAAAACAAGAAACAAAAACAGGAGGAAAGAAAATCAGACAAGAAAAAAGATGGAAGCAAAGCCACAACAAACAACAGAAGAAATAAAAAAATCTGATGAAGAAACAGAAAAGAACATTTCCTCCACCCTCCCGCCCCGCCTCCAGCTCTCCCCTCCTACCTTGCACCTGCAGTGTGTACTCCCCCACGCCTTTCCCGATGCCGTTGTCAGCGTAGCAGACGTAGACGCCGTTGTCTGATTTGTTGAGCATCAAGAAGGAGAGGACAGCACCGTCCGCTTTGGACAGCAGGGGGATCTCTCCGTCCTTCCTCTCCCAGACGTAGTCAGCAGGTCTGAGGGAGACGAACGTGACGGAAGAAAAACTGTCAGCTGAACATGGCTTTTTTTAAATGAACTGCATCAAATTAGTGAGAAAAGGAAACAACCAAGAGTTGAGCATTCCTTGAAGGAATGCATATCGCCCACCACCCTTCATGTCAGGGTTTTAAACTAAATAATTGAACATAAAACATACAACTTATCACGTCAGAATGCAGCTGCTATTGTAGAACCATCGTTAGATTTTAGCTATATGCTAACTAAAAATAAGTGCAGTAGAAGGTAAGTTCTGCTCTGCAGATATTACACAGGTTTCTCTTTCATTTTCTTAAAATGATCCCACACTTTGAGCTCTGCAGGTAGCCATGATACCAGAGCCTGTCTGTATAATGTCTTGTGACGTCCACAGCCTACCCCAGTTACCACTACTGTGCATGTGTGTCAAGGACAGAAAGGCAGATGTGGCAGTGGAAGGTGTCAAAGCAGTTTGGAGAGAAAAACAAAGTAAAGAAGAACAACAAAAAAAGAAAACGATTAATCGATTATTAAATTAGTCATCGATTATTTTAATAATCGATTAGTCATCGATTAATCGATTAATTGTGGCAGCCCTCGTTGAGTGGAGATCATTGTTTTTGGAGGAAAAAAAAGAGACGCAGAAGCGCGTTGCAGCTGAAGGGAGCAGGAAACACGGTAATCTCGTGGTAAAAACACCACTGTCCATMATCAGTCTCATCTTTCTCTTAAACCGAAAAAATATAACCCCCCAGACCTTCTTTTTGACTGAGGCTCAAAGTTATCTGACAAGCAGTAAAAAATCTACAGGATGAAGAAAATAAAAACAGGCTAAATTTGAATGGAGATTGGCGGCATGAAGAGCCGGTGAGAGCAGGACTTTATTAATTAGATCTGTGACYTTTAACATGTTTGGATTTTATAGTTAGTGTGTAGTTTTGAGTGTTTACTCTTCATTTTAGCCAATTTTAGTGTGTTTTAAATCAAAGCAATGAGGCAAGCACGGAGGTCTGCAGAGGCAGAACGACAACACGTGTCTTATTTCTCTCCACTCACTCTTGCAGTTAGAAAAAAATTGTATCTGGATGTATTTTTTTATGTGAGAAGTGCAGTCTCACAGCAACTTTTCACCATTTTTCCTATTTKCCAGAAAGAGAAACTCATCCTATTTTCCCCCAAACCAATTTCTCAGCCTCCGTCTACAACGTGGTCACGTGACAAAGTACCTGCCTGTTCGACTTTGAGAATTCTAGTTTCCCTTCACTGCTCYGTCTGGGATTTCTCCCATAGACAAGGATTTCTTTGGGAGAATTTCGTTCGGGCCAATCAGAAAACAGAAGGCGGAGTTTTGAACRATGCTGATTTTCTGCGCAGTGTCTGCTAGTTAGTTTAGCATACGTCAGTGGAGGAAGTGAATGAAACCAGTCTGTGTTGACAAGGCTTCCAAATTAAATTAAACTAAATTTGTCTGACAAAGCAGCAGCTCTCAATTACAGTCGTTTCGTTCGCCTCGGTACTTCGATCGGTACTCGGTACAACGATCCAATCATTTAAAACTTCAACAGAGGCCACGCCTCCAGCAAAAATTGCTTCTCTATAGTCGAGAGTCCAGACCCTCGTAAGCAAAGGACGAGGGGCTGGTTTTTGCACTATAGCCATTCTTTTTTCTTCTTCTTCTTCTCATTTTCAAAACTGCATCTCAAATCAAAAGTAACATGTTTGGCTACACAACTGTGGTGTCAGAATGAAGCTCAGAGCTGATTGGCCGATTCTAGTATATCAATCTCGTGTGTATGTGGGTGGGACACGAGGGGTTTGCCACTCATTTTGTGCTCTGGAGAGTTTATAGAGTTGATCAAAAGAGGTGTCAATCAAAATAAGACAACCAATCAAATTGTTTGAAGAGCCTATWATGTAAATTCAAAGCCCCTGGTAGATTGGGTCAGGCTAAAGAGGCAGGAGGTAACCACAAATTRGGAATGTACTATGGATGGTATTGATGGTTAAAGGGTTAAATGGTGTAGATGTGCTTCCAGTGGTTTATTTTTTGAAGGTTTCATCATATGTCCACTGGTTGGTGACATAATTTGCTAATGCTACAAACACGCAACAAGAAAAAAGAAAGGAAAGTAAACAACATTACCACCTTTTCAACTAAGTGGAAACAAATAAGGAAAAGAGACTAATAGAGTAACAAGGGAGACAGAAAACAAAGAGGTGACAGTTATTACAGAACTCGATAACAAGGATGAATGCAAAAATAAAAACCTGACAAAAGGACGATGAACAGAAACGTGGAGATCTAAGCTTGGAGAAAAGAGATTAAAAGAGATGCAGGGAGAGGGAGACAACAGAACCAGGATCAGCATTTCAGATCTTCCCTTGTTAAAAATCCATTCYGCGTAACAGATTGTATGTGAGAGAGATAGCAAGACGTGCCTCGATAAAAGAATCAATTATGCAAATGGGAAACTCCTTAAGCGCCGTACAGTAATTACAATGACGGCGAGTCTGAATCAGGGACAGATCTGAATGTCTTGGACTGATTAATCGCTCTCTGAAATGTGAAAAAAAAAAAAAACCCTCTGACACATCGAAATGTGAAGATTCATAGTGTTAGTTTGGTCAGTATTGCCCACCAGCTGTTACAGCTATGAGCTTTTAGATTAAACCTCTTCTAGTTGAGATTTGAGCTGAAAATCAATTCAGTTTATTGCTGTTGGACAAAATGCGCCAACTTTCTGTGAATTAATAAAAAATACACCACAGTTTCCTCACTGGACATGTAGTGCAAAGCAAACACTTGGAAGGACTGTTCAGCCAGCTCTCCTGAGGCAAATTAAATAATAAAAAAAACTAAATTTAAACCATTAAGTATTTAAAACAAGTGTGCCCTCTTTGTGTTTTGCTACATGGTCTGGTTACCTGCCATAAAATGTAATCAGCTGTTGTATTACCCAGACTCCAAATGCCACATAATACGCAATTAACTGAACAATTAACTTTACATTTACAGGCTGTAGCTCATGTTCTGTTATTGAATATAATGTTGGAAAGTTAATCACTGCTGCAGCTGCTGCTTAAAGCAGAATGGGTCAGAACACGGGGACCGGTTGCATCATGCATGTTTAAACTTTGAGATTTATTCTCGGCTATGAGCTCTTAAAGGTGGGAGCTTTTCGTTTAGTAAACAGGCATTAGTAAACACTTTATGAAAATAATGATTTGCTTGAAGACGTTTTTATTGTAATTAGAGAGGTTGCTGCATCAGTGTCTGTCTTCCACTGCAGAGAAAAAGCTTTGGGTGGTTTAGTTCAATTGTTAATAAAAGATGTTTTCATTTTTTCAATGAAATGTTTGTTTATCAGCATTTTATTTTACTATTAGGCTCACAGATGCTGGTATTTTCATAAATACATGCTATAATTACATTTTGATCTCATTCAGAAAAGTCCAAATATTCTCCTCTAACCACTGTTTTTAWATTGTCTGTGAAATAATTAATCCGGTAACACACAGAGTCCAGTGTGTGTTTTTAGGTGATGGTTTTGGAGTCKGCAGTTAAACTGTTTTTGATTCAATCCGCTCTCAGCAGTGAAGTTTAAGACACTCCAGGCAGCTCTTTTCAGCAAAAAGAGCTCTGRTGCTGTTGCTCCCTGCCAAGCACTGAACATCCAACGGAGAAAGTCAGTGCTGGAAAAAAGTAAAGCGTTTATCTGCCAAACACAGATATTTTTCCTCTGGGTTTGATGGACACTGAAACAAAACAAACAGGAGGAGGAAATTTAGCTTAACGGAGAAACAGTTTTAAGTGTTTTAGTTTCTGACTGTTTAAAACTGTTACTTAAAGTACATTTTCCATTTAATATACTGTATAGTACACAGTTAAACTTGCAATAAGATCCAAAAACTGCCTAGCAATACAACAGAGGTAAAAATATAGAATACAGCTTGGTATGTGGCTGAAACTTGCAAGATACAGTATGTACCTGGTGGTAACTTGTATGTCCATAAATCTTACCCAGCATGTATCTGCTTCTAACCCAGTGTGTACTTGTACTGGTACTTACAATGTATTTGATTTGATGATGGCTTTATTGTCATTGTACGGAAAATAATGAAATTCCATTTAAGAACACCCATTCAAGAAGACGCACACATGACAAAAACATGGGGGAAACAGATGATCAGGTCATGCAGCAACCAACAGGGGTTGCACTACCTTTAAAATAAAAAACAAAATACCACAGAAGGTTAGATGAGGAAAAAAAAAAAAAAACACAAGACAATCCGTAATCAGTTGTTTGGGAACAGAGAAAATGTTTTCGGTCAGGGAGACAATAACAATTTTCCATCTGCCTTAATGTCCGCGGGTACATCCAATGTGGCAAATCCAATCAGACAAATAGTGTGGACAATTCCGCCAATCTGAGCTATCAGCTTCTCCAAGATCAATTCCATCTCGCCAGCAAAGTCCAGGAACACGGCCGGTCCGCGACCTTCAAGAACCGCTTGCAGACCAAGTCCAGCTYGCTCAAGGCAAAAGTCTGAGTGCTGAAAGCACGGCAATCCTTCAYATTGGTCAGGCAGCCAGGAAACGGCCTGAATAGCCACTRACGCTGTTTTGTAGAACACCAGGAGACCACCAAGCCAATTTGTAGAATCCAGTGATCAGAATCCAAATATGTATCCAGAACAGAGCAGAACAGAGGTCCCACCTTTAACATGTCCTCCCATGGAAAAAAAATTTTTGTTCCAAAAATTTAGACCAGCTAACCAAATCTATAAAAAGAAATCCATAATTTTCGGTTTTGGATGAAAACATGGAGGAGGTTCCAAGCAGCAAAGCAGGAGAGAGGGAAAAAGTGTCTTACTCCTCCGAGAGCAGGGACAAATCAACAACAACAACAAAATAAATAAATAAATAAATAATAAAAAAACCCACGTCTACCTGGTATTTACCTGGTACCTACAACAACTGGACTGTGTTATAAAGTGA